GTTTCAATTTTGACATTTCTGTCTCATTCGGAAATTAAAAAAAGAAAAAGAAAAAGAAAATGCAATATTTATCAATTTAAATTCTTCCACTATACTGCTTTCTATTTTTTAATACATTGTTTAGATTAAAAACAAATCACCACCATACATTCATCATATTTACAGTGATCAATTATTTTATTTTCTAAGCACATCACAATTAATTGTTATTTATTACGTCATATTAATTTGTATTAAAATAATAATTTCAATTATTAGTTCATCAATGAAAATAAAAAATCTGAAGTATATCCAATTACCGACCAATTAATTAATATGCGATTTAAATTTATGTCTTACAAAGTTGATCTGAATAGGTTGCAGGCTTGCAGCTACCTCAAAGCTCACAGACCATCACACCGATTTTTCCCGGGCAAAAATGCCGATCTGCAATCCGTCGTCGTCCTCTTCGTCATCATCTTCCAGCTCTAGCTACACGAAAGCCGCGATCATTCACAGCGTGGCGGTCGGGGCCGCCGCCGTGCTTGTGCTCGGTGCCCATGCCTACTTTTTCTATCGCCGATCCGCCAAGTTCCGGAGCCGAGTCGTCGGAATTATACCCGCGCGCTATGCTTCCTCTCGCTTCCAGGGCAAGCCGCTGGTGCAAATCCTCGGCAAGCCCATGATCCAGGTTTAATTTCCAGCCCGCCCTTCTATTTTGTTGTATTTTTACTTTTCTTTTTAATTTTACTCTTTTGTTTCTATGAGAAATTGCGACTGCCTTCTTGTAATATTGGAACTCGTTGATGCTTTTTTGCCGAGTAATTCGTGTATCTCTGGGTTTGATTCGTACTTCGATTTTTGAACTGGTTGATGCTTTGAATTATGATCCAGAGAACATGGGAAAGAGCAAAAATGGCAGCCACATTAGACCACGTTGGTATACCCGCGCCTCGACTGGTTTCTCTTTATCTGGACATTTGGAAACTTTATCCGTTTTCATTCATTGTAGTTTTTGATAGTTTTGGATTGGTAACTTGGTGATTTTATTATTACTCGTGTAGTCGTGGCAACTGACGATGATAAGATTGCCGAGTGCTGTAGAGGATTCGGTGCTGATGTTGTAATGACATCGGAATCGTGTCAAAATGGTACCTATCAAGCTGTGCTTTAATGTTCTTTGAATCACATGATGTTCTGTAGTAGATTTTTGTTTTAAGGTTCTTATTTGGAATTTTTTATAGGCACCGAGAGGTGTAATGAAGCACTTCAGAAACTTGGTAAGAAATATGATGTTGTTGTCAATATTCAGGGGGATGAGCCGCTTATAGACCCTGATATCATCGATGGCATTGTCAAGGCTCTCCAGGTTAATTAGTTNCTTTTTTCCTTTGAGGATTGACTTATACAGATGGTTGTTTGTTCATTGTTGTAACTTGTATGTTAGTTTCTGCTTTTCAATCATTGATTTTGCTTCCATATTGCCAAGTGGATTCATTATGGTATCTTGGTCTTGAGTTTGTTTGGTGTCTAATGACTTACAGGTAAACAGATCATGAGATTGTTGTGCAACATGGGATTCATCATGCTTTTAACGAACATTTCTCTAATAAAATTGCCCGTTTGTTGAGGATTCTATCCCAATGTTAAAAGGTCAATCTAGAAATTATAGTAGTTTTCATATAATAATGTAATATGAAAATGTAGAGGACAAGAATGATCTGCACATTTGACACTGGAAGTGTTGTGATGGATGTATTAGAAATTAGTGTTTATAATGTACTTATTATCAGTTTGTATGCATTCTATCTGTAAACTACCATATACATGTGAATAGACCAGAACCTGACTTTAAGTTTAACATGCATAACATTGATAAATTGTCCAACACTTAACTGAGTACTCGAGAGATCAATTTTTTTGCTTCCCAACAGGCTTACTCTTTATTTCTGTTTTTGCTATGAGCATTTAAGAACCACATCTAACTATCTAAGATATCAGTTTGGAAATAGTTTTCGATTTTGGAAAAATTATTTGTCTCGACTCGAAAATATTAACATCAAAACTGTGAATAGTGCAGGCTGCTCCAGATGCAGTGTTTAGCACAGCAGTTACTTCCCTAAAACCGGAAGATGCTTTTGATCCGAATCGTGTCAAATGTGTGGTGGATAACCATGGCTATGCGATTTATTTTTCGAGAGGACTTATACCATTTAACAAGTTAGTTTATCCTACAGTTAATAGCTTAATATCCCATTTGCTGTACTGTATCCAACAGGGGACTTTGTCAAGGCAAGACATAATGAACTTCAATGTATGCAGGTCTGGAAAAGTGAACCCTCAATTTCCATATTTACTTCATCTGGGAATTCAGGTACCAAACCACATAATTGCAGTATTTTAACGTGCTCCTCGCAATTGGTCTACGAATTGGATTCTAAATGAGGAAGTTTGTTTGTTTGTTTGACAGAGCTTTGACACGAAGTTTCTCAAGATATACCCTGAGCTTCCGTCAACTCCACTACAGCTAGAAGAAGATTTGGAACAGCTGAAGGTCCTTGAAAATGGATACAAAATGAAGGTGCGTTTATAAATGTCCAGTTGTGTTCGTTAACTGATTCATGTTACGTTTCTTGATGCTTATTACAGTTACTTTAATTAAAAAAAAAAAGGTTGCGATTTAGGATAAATTGCAAAAAGAAACAAAACACCTATAAAAAATTAGCGTAATCACCAGAACCCGAGCTATCTTTCGGAAATGCAAAGTTCAAGAAGGGTTAGAAATTTTGTAATTTCGGTTGGGTCAAAGTATGTGTAAATTTTCGGGAAGCCCTTGATAAGTATAGAACAAGAAGTATGTCGAGCTTTGTCAACATTACAAGACCATCAGCATAGTTTAATTTCAGTTTTCTTCTTCCTTATGTAAAAAGGGAATAAATAAATCAAATCAATTCATTCCACTGCAGGTTATAAAAGTCGATCATGAAGCCCACGGTGTTGATGTTCCAGAAGACGTAGATAAAATCGAGCAGTACATGCGCGAAAAGAACCTGCGTTAGTGCCACAATTTCTTGCGGCCCTTACAATAGGATTCTGTTCAAATGTTCTAGTTCAAATACAAACTCAGGTTCTTTTTCAGTTATGTACATTTTGCCTGTAATTTATTCCTATACTTGTTTAACACCAATCTGTTTGTTCTGAGGCAGTACTTGAAAAACTATTTTGAGCACACTTGTGTGATTGTATGATTGAGAAATGGCTAGCTGGGTATTTTGGAATTTTATACTTTTTTTTTTTTTTCATAAATTGTTGCATGAGCGCAATGGTTAGATAGGTCAAATACATCATACTTTTTGAATAAAAATGCAAATTTGCAAACTCAACTGTTATATTTATGTTTATATTGTTTTTAAATTATGTCTACTGTATGTAAATTATGTATATTTGTTGAAAATATAACTTATTAATTTTCTTTTAAAAGGAATTATGTGGAATGAGGACAAAGGCATGATGGATTTTCTGATCAAGCCCAGTTAAGATTATTAGGTGCGAATTTGCGTGTAAAAATGGAGAAAAACATATTGCGTCAATCCACATTTCCCGATTTCGATATCTCCTCTGCCAATTTCATTTAAAAATTCGAACACTTTTTTGTTTTTTGCAATGCTCTTTAGGAGTTAGGTAGATAGGGACCATAAAAATATTGTTAATTCATGTTGTTGAAATAAATAATAGTAGTAATAATAATAAAAAAAAAAAATTGTTGCTGATTGGAACTTGGGTATTTGAAAATCACAATTTCCGGAGGAAGGACACTAAAAACAATATGAAAGGCCTTTTTCCGGCGTGTTCCACTTTATAATAATTACATCTTTTCATTCTACATTGATATTTGAAATGGTCTATGATAAAATTTATATTTGAATTTTACACTCATAACAAAAAACTTTTCCTCTCTTATTTTGTATATCACACGTATATGGCAATGATGTTCCTACAATGTAATTAAGAGGAAAAAAACAGAGATATGAGAATGAGTTCGGGTCGATTTGTTTAGTTAATGAGAGAAGAGGAGCTTTTATGTAATTTTTTCAAAATTTTACCATAGCGCCACTTGTTTAGTCTCTAGTTGAATTTGTGCTCGTTTATAGTATTAGCTCGATAGAGGCTCGAGCTGAGGTCTCGGCTCGTTCACACCTCTAAATACTCGAGAGTCTCAACTTGAATTGTGACAAACTTACAACTTTTATTTTGAAAATTCCATTTTTTACATAAACATGTGCAAATTCATTTTTACCCAATTGCAATTAAGAAGATTAAACCTTGGAAAAAAATCAGCACAAGAAAGGAAATTATACAAGGAAAAGGCAGGCATGGAAAATTTAAAATTTTAACGAGTAAATCACTAAATTGTAAATTCTACTAGTCATTTCATTACTTGTCCACACAGATGAAGGGATAATTTCAAAACATGTTCTTAAAATTTCTGAAGTCTTCAATGTTTTGGTGATGAGTGAGTGATGACATGAACCTGAGTCTTGAAAAGCAGGAAAAAAAGCGAGTCAACCGAGAAATACACGAACCCACCCGGCGAGTGAGTCACGAACGACCCGAAACTCTTCCCGGCCACACAGTGCCACGCCGGACCGTATACCGAGTCAAATTCCTGTCCACCCAGTCAACTCAGTTAACAAAAGCTATTTCCTCATTTTTTTCTTTTTTTCTTTCAAGTAATAAGATTGTCTGAAGTTGTTAAACGAATCGAACCGCTCATAAGATCTGCCGAGCTCAGCTCCGAAACGAGCCAAACTCGTTTAAGTTTTAGTTAACAAGCCCGACTCCACTTGATTCGATTTTTTTTTTCTTAAAAAAAAAAATTATGTACAATTTTTTATAGTTCAACTTGTTCATTTTTCACCTTTGATCAATAAAATACAGGTGAAATCTATAGTAGCAACAATGATATTATATTGAGAAAGTACCTTTTTGAGTGAGCGCGCGAGGAGGGTGGGGTTGGGCCGGCGGCCGGCGGCGGGGCAGTCGAGGAGGGCCCGGGCGTGGCGGATGGCGCGCTCCTGCATGGCGGCGGGCATGTCGGCGGCCCTCAGCCGCGCGCGGAAGCCCACGGCAAGGGCGGCCAGCCGAACCTCCTCCTTCTGCCGGAGGAGCCTCGGCGGCGCCGCCAGGGACTTCGGCCCCATCGGCCGCTTGCTTTCAGGGTCGTGATTTTGCGCTATCTCCGCCATGTGAACCGTGCGGAGCTCGGCGGCGTTGGGAAAGAGGAAGAAAAAGTTTTGACCTGTGTGTGAAAAATAAGAATGTTCAAAGGGAAGCCAAATTTATGTTTGAAATTTTTAGTACTCGTTTTTCGTATGTGTGTGTTTGTGTGTGTGTTTGAGTGTGAGAGAGAGACGTGGAGTGGTTGGACACTTGGAAAGGAAAAACAGGCTACTGTACTTTTGAACATTGACTGACAAATATTTCCTCCAAAAGCCAAAAGATTATTACACAAACAAAGAAAAAAAAATATACCTTATGTGAAATTTATAATAAAATTAGGACATTGTTCTCGAGGACGATTCTCTATTAATTAAGGGATTGTTTTATAGTGGGAGCTACTGATAAATACTCCTCAATTTAAGATTTAGAATTGTCTATTTTCGTTTTAAATAGTTTATTTTTTTAAAATTCAAGCAATTTAAGGTACAATTTTTCTTTTTTCTTTTTTTTGTAACTTTAGGTAGGAAGTAGGAACTCAGGTTTCAATGGGTTTATTTATTTATTTAAAAATAAAAAAAAATAAGTGGAGAAAAATAAAAAAAAAAAAACAAAAAAGAGTGGAAAAAAATCAAAAGGCCGGATTCTCGGAATCCGTTTTTCCTTAAAAAATGAATTTTGAGAATCTGTTTTTATTTATTTATTATTTTTTAATTTTATTTTTTGTTAAAAAACGGATTTTCCAAATCCGTTTATATTTTTTATTTTTATTTTTTTATTTTTTATTTAATTAATAATATAAAAAAATTAAAAACGAATTTAAAAAATCTGTTTTTATTTTATTTTAATTAATATAAAAAAAAACTTAAAAACGAATTTTGAAAATCCGTTTTTAATTTTTATTTTAATTTTTTAATTAATAATATAAAAAAATATTAAAAACGGATTTAAAAATCCGTTTTTATTTTTATTTTTTATTTTTTAATTAATATATATATATAAAAAAAACTTAAAAACGGATTTTGAAAATCCGTTTTTAATTTTTATTTTAATTTTTTAATTTTTAAAAGATAACGGGCGGTTACACTATAATTAACCGAGATTGTATTAATTCAACTTCAATTGGACTAATTTGAGTTCGATTACACTATAATTGACGAGATTGTACTAATTCGATTTCAATTGGACTAATTCTAATTCGATTACACTATAATTGACCGAGATTGTACTAGTTCGACTTCAATTGGACTAATTCGAGGTCGATTACACTATAATTGACCGAGATTGAAAAATAAAAATGGATTTTTTAAATCCGTTTTTAATATTTTTTTATATTATTAATTAAAAAATTAAAATAAAAATTAAAAACGGATTTTCAAAAACGGATTAAAAACGAACTCAAAGTTTTTTTTTTAATTTTTTATATATTTATTAAAAAAAATAAAAAAATAAATAAAAAATAAAAACGGATTTTTAAAATTCGTTTTCTATTTTTTTTAATATTATTAATTAAAAAATAAATTAATAAATAAATAAATAAATAAAAACGGATTATGAAAATCCGTTTTTCAAATAAAATATTTTTTTTGAAAAACGGATTACGAGAATCCGGCCTTTTGATTTTTTTCCACTTTTTTTTATTTTTTTATTCTTCTCCACTTATTTTTTTTTGTTTTTAATTAAATAAATTACCCGGTTTCAATGTGTGCTTACTGGTGTGTCTGATAGTATTATTTTAATATGACTAGTACTTTAAATAAAAAATAATTTTAATTTATTTGTTACATCAATATGAAATAGAATTCTGATGGTCACGTTATTACATCAAATTTTAACTTTAGCTAGTGAATTTTTAGAGATTTCGAGCTATAGTTTCAATTTGAGTTTATTGGCTCGACTGATGAGGCGATTAGATAAAACACAATTAAATTTGATTGTCGTACATCTTATCGCCACAAGTTGTAGTAGATAGTGACTTTACGATAGTTTTTATTTTTTATTTTTTCATTTATATTGCAGACAATTGAAGTTTGTAGGAGATGGAGTTTCTATTCCTCTTTGGGATTCTCCTTGGTTACCAAATTCTCATAATCCTACTCCTTTTTGTCGATTCCCTGATGATAAGCATAGGCTCAAGTGGGTGAGGGACTTAATGGAACCAGAGGGAACAGGGTGGGATAGGGACTTAGTGGAGCAGACTTTTTGTCCCACTGATGCTCAAACTATTCTCAACATTAAGCTCCATAGAGTAGAAGGAGGGGTGGATAGCAAGGATAGGTTAGTCTGGAGGCACAACAAAAATGGTTCCTTTTCTGTTAAGTCTCTTTATGCTGCCTTACTGCAGAACCAGGTGAATGCAAAAGGAAAGCCTGAATCTAGCAATAGTGCCAAAATGCAGAAAAAGCTCTGGAAGTCAACCTGGAGCTTGAAAGTTAAAAACAAGATCAAAGCTTTCATATGGAGGAGCTTTCATGGTTTTCTGGGGTCACAGGATAGGCTGAAGCAAAAGGGAATGAAGATTGACCCTATCTGTCAACTGTGTGGAGAGAAAGAGGAAACTCAAGAACACATTTTCTTCAAATGCCCAAGGGCTGCATATGTGTGGAAGCTTTCAGGAGTGAGCTGGGATGGTTTGACAGACAAGGAAGGAAGCTTTCAAACATGGTGGCAGGAATTATGTCAAATGAAGGATCTGTGTGAAGTGAAGGACAGGATAGCCCTCTCTACATATGTTCTGTGGTGGCTCTGGAAGACCAGGAACAGCTGGGTTTTCAGGAAAGAATGGATTTCTGAGAAGGATACAGCAAAAGGAGCAAGGTTTGAGTGGCTAGAGTTTGAGGAGTTGGGAGCAGCTTGAGATGTTTGATTTTGCTGGTGGATGGGTTTTGCATGGTATGGGGGGTGACTGTTTTGTGGTGTCAAGGGGCTGTAGGGTCACCATTTAGTGATCAGTGCAGTACCATTTGCATCTTGTATTTAGTGGCTATCTTTTGGGTTTTAGTTTGGTCAGTTTGGCTGTGCTTATGTATGTTCTTTTGGATGTTTGCTCTCTTTCCCTTTATCTTTGTAATTAGTGTCAGGTTGTAGTTTGTTTAGTTGGAGTAGGGGGATTTGGGGCCGTTTTGTGTATTTTGTTTGGTTTTTGGTGTTGTTCTTCTTGAAGGGGATAAGCAGCTTGCTTGTTGCTATCCTCATTTCCTTGTTCTAGCTATTTTGAGTTCCGTTTCAGCTAGGGGCAGGATTGGTCAGTTGACTACTCGTGTATGTACTAAACTCTTCGAGTTTCCTTAATGCAATGACCGTTTGAAAAAAAAAAGAAGTTTGTATCTTTTCATTTCTTGATAGTTGCCAAAAAAGAGTGCCTTAAATTGTTGAAAGTGAAAATTTGTGCTTACGTTGTAATTGAAGTATAAATTATGCCTTTAAAATTCTCAATTTAATTATGTATAAGTTAATAATATTTTTCATGAAATATATAGGAATTAAACTTTGAGGTTGGCAACATGAGACTGACCTGTCTTAACACTTCCATATGGGCCTCAGCTCAATGTCCAGTCGAATGACAAACAGGCTGAAACAGATACGACAAATTATCGAGGCTGGTAACACTTACTGAAAACTACGGGCCTAAGACCAATCTCTAGTCCAAAGGCCCATACATCAGCCCCACGTGAGGGACACGTGACTCGTGCAACAGTCTCTCTCTCATCCATTCGGCACATCTGAGAAAATCCTCTAAAACCAAAACCAGACAAACTCTACTCTGCCACTCTTTTTCTTCTACTAATCCACTCCATTTACGGATTTAATTATCTGCGCATCAATTTCGCAACATCACACGCGCGCGCGTACTCTACTCTCTCTACGCCGCCTCTTTGATATTTCCGCCATGGCAGCTGTTTTGCAAACGCTGGCCGTCCCACGGGCCTCCGCTGTTCCGTCGGCGTCCCTGGCTCCGGCGGACGGATCCTCCGTTTCCCGCCGTGTATACCTCGGGTTCTCGGGTTTCAGAGGGGTTAGGGTCCTGACTGCGCGGTCATCGGCTCCAGTGGGGTCGAGATCGAAGCTCGGCCGCTTTGGTGGACGAATTGTCTGTGAGGCACAGGAAGCAGCTCTCGAAGGTAATTTAATCGGTTTCTGGTTGTTTTCTGAGGAAACCAGTGTGTTTTTTTTTTTCCGATTTTGATGATTGAGCTTTTGTGCTGGAACCATTTTTCAGTGTGTTGTGTGGGATCGAGATGTGATTGGGAGATGGATGAATCTCGTGTTTTAGTTAGATTACATTGTAATATTAACTCATAATCCATGGGAAAGACGATGAAATAGCGATGTTATCGTGTTTGTTTTGTGTTAGTATTTACGGGGTTATAAGGTCAATTACAATGGAAAATTTAATCCCGGGTTTTGAACTGTTGGATTTGGATCACACACACTCATACACACGCACATGGATATTTGTCGATCCAATGGTTAAAAACCTGGTGAGGGCATGTTGACACGAATTTAGCCTACTTTAGGGTGTGGGATGTTTTCAGATTAGTTGGCAATTTTAACATCGAATACCTTTGGCAGTAACAAGATGAAATCAATCTTATATGAAGAAATAACTTTATTGGAATATCCTTTTCCAAAAAACTCTGTTTGAGAATTGAGACGCTACTTCTGGCATGCCTATCCATTCAGCATTAGTCGTACATATTGTATGGTCTATTCACACGGTGAAGCTATTTTGTATGGAAATATCTTTGTTGGAATCTTCGACCAGTCAGCTTGTGTCCTTCAAGATGCCCACTTTACTCGCGTTGTTTGAACGACAATTCAGTACACATGGTTTGGCATTTGCTTTTAACTTCACTTTGTCAATGTACTATGGCGTGGGATGTTTTCATATTAGTTGGCATATTTCATTTCAAGAGGTTAATTAAGCTATTGATGCACTGGTTCCAAAATCCTAAAATCACACTGACCGACAGACCGAGTCTATAATTACCTTGACCAATTTTATGGCTGTGGCTTCATCTTTGTGTATGAAGTAATGGGATTTTGGCTGAGTTGATTTGCATGTATTTCCTGTAATGTATATACTTAAGAAAAATGTTGAGATGCTACAATCACTTGAGCCATGTAATCAGTCATTTTTGGCATGGGTCTATTTGTTGCGTATCTCATTTGTTCCTTTTATGGGATAATATCCTTTATGAACCGATAGCTTTATAAGAATATCCTATTCCGAAAAACTCTGTTTGAAAACTGAGATGCTACTTTTGGCATGCCAATCTATTAAGTGTCCACCGCATTTATTGTTTAATGGAAATAGACATCCATCAGTGAACAATATTCCTTATCACATGGTGAAGCAATTTTGTAAAGAAATATCTGTGTTGGAATCTTCGACCGGTCACCTTGCGGTCCTTCGAGATTCCCACTTTACTCACATTGTTTGAATGACAAATTCAGAAACATGGTTCAGCGGTTGCTTTTAGCTTTAACCCGTCGATGCACTTAATGTCATGGTTTTGAAATCCCTTGCATTAAATTCATTTAGGTTGTTTATCTTTATATAATGGTTACCATATTGTAATTAATTTGGAAGATTTTAAAATCCATCTTTTGATCAGTTAATTTAAATTCCTTCCTGCAAATCCTTCCCCCTAAACATTGCCCCTTTCTGTTTTCCTGAGAAGGTCTTGAACTCTTACTGTTGTTGATTCATATATAACAAACTCTTTGGTTTTATTACAATTCTCTTGGTTACCCAAAGTGTAATATCTTGTCAGATAGTCCTTACCTTACTGTTATGTGGTACTGTTCTTAACTTCTTGCCAGGTGCTACATGAGATGTTGAATACGTTTCTTTCTATCTAAATGGTGATTCTCCGAAACCAGTTTGCGATTTTTAAAAAATTCCATGAGTTGATTTTTTTTACCAATTCAAAACATTCTTGCAAAAAACAATTATGATTCTAAATTGACCGGTTCACATTATTTGCTTGGAAAATCCAGTGCCTGCCGTTACTGATGCCAGCTGGCAGTCCAACGTGCTCCAGTCCGACTTGCCCGTTTTGGTCGAATTCTGGGCTCCTTGGTGTGGGCCATGCCGCATGATCCACCCAGTGGTCGATAAACTGGCCAAGCAATATGCCGGGAAACTCAAATGTTACAAAGTCAACACAGACGAGAGCCCCTCTGTTGCTACTCAGTACGGGATTCGGAGCATCCCTACAGTCATAATATTCAAAAATGGAGAGAAGAAAGAAGCAGTCATTGGTGCAGTCCCGGAGAGCACACTGATAACCTGCATCGAAAAATTCTTATGAAAAATAAGAAAAGGTAAGTGTATAAACTTATGTTTTTCTGGGGAATCAAACTGTATCTTGTTGCTCTTTTTACCTTTTAGCTCTTGACATGTGCGGAATGTTTCGAATAAAACTTATGAAGCTCGTGTATAGTTTGAAGTGTTGTGCGTTAATGTTCTATCCAGATTCTTGCAAGTCATTAAGTTATTTCCACTTCACTTTAGGATATGCGTAATCTTACTTTGTAGTATCGATGAAAAACCTTGCTTAATTTTGAAAAGAGAAATGCTATAAGTACATAATACTATATATAGAAGTGTACACAACACTCACATTAAGTGGGTCCTACCAAAAATAAAAAAATAAGTGGACCTAACTCCATGTGAGTGTTATGTACACCTCTATGTACATTTATTATGTACTTGTAGCATTTTTCTTTTGAAAATTAGAAAAATCCACCTTTATCTTATGTTTGTTTATATGTCTGCACCAACAGTTAGTTGACTTGGTTGATTTCATCAAGTATAGCACATATGGACCTCTCTACTTTTTCAAGATCTTACAGATAGCCCCCATTTCTTGTATAGCCCTTTGTGTCATTTGTGAGAAGTGGTTATTCGTAATACTTAAGTGTGGTTTTTGTAACTTTCAGAGTTGGCTGATTCTTTTTGTATATATTTTGAACCTCAAGGGGTGCGTTTAATTGTGGACATATTATTTATTTCTCTTTATTGATCTAATTAGTGTTGTTTCTTCAGCAATGGTACTAGTGAAACCAGTCTTTTTTCACCCCACTATGAAAATGTATTTAGTTTTCATACCGTCCATTGGTAATTTAACTTTTTTCACTCCAGAAAGAAGGCAACGTGCAACTAATATGCGACAGCTGTGAGATGGATATCAGGATATGCGAGAGTTGTGAGGTTCATTCACATAACCTTTTGTACCTTTTCGGGTGAAAAATTAAAGTGCGAATGCATTGAACGATGAATATGCGACAATTTTACAATTGATATATTATATGCGACATTTATACAATTGATATGATAGTTATGCGGTTCATTTGCATAAATTTTGCACACCAGAAAATGTTAAATTATCCTTGAGACAGTGAAAATTTTAATATATAATAGGGTGAAAAAGATTTTTTTTCCATTGATAATATACCCTTTTCTCCCACTTATTACTGCGAATTTGAAAGCAATCCAAACAATGGTGCTTCTTTTTTTAGCTTGCTTCTTGTTTTAGCCACAAAATTTTTCAAAGGTAAAAAATGTAAACATAATCCACAACTCGGCGACTTGTGTTGAACAGTCGTGAAAGTTGAAACGACAAAGATATTCCTTACTTTATCTTTATCCAATCCTATCTAAAACAAACATGCTTCTTGGGTGCGCACTACTCGATTCCATTCCATACCCAAATGTCATGATATATATATGCAAGAATTACAGACAAAATATAATGGAAAGCAAATCTTATCAAGTATTTCTAGTGACAAATTTCAATAGTTTTAATTCAAGTTTCTTGAGTGAAGATATGAAAATAATATCACCCATTGCCACACAATTTTAACTTAAAATAGTAATACTAATAATTTTAAAAAATATATTTTGTAGTGCTTATTGAGTTTATGATTTGTCGGTGTTTGTGTGTGCAATCTATTCTCCTGGGAGCTGGCGAAAGAAATACTGTGAAAACTAATTTTGCCCAAGAAAAAAAAAAAAGGTAAAATCGGGTTAATTAGCGGCCAAAAATCATACCTATGTAGGATATTAAATTTATTTGAGCCTATGGTGTCTAATCGGGTAGATTATATTTTACATAGGTTTTAACCATCACATTATATCAATTGTAATTGGATGCTGGCCTAACTTACTAATTTTTTCAACTAAGGGTAAATGGAGGGTAATTCGTCTAAATTACTTGATTTTAGGGTAAGCCAAGTCTCCCTTATCCAGCATTGACAACTGGAACAAGCAATTCCCAAACCTATATGATTGCAATAATTCAACTTTCATTCNTAAAAAAAAAAAAAAAAATCATTTTTACGTACGGGTAGTAATTTTGACCCACTAGGTTATTGCAATCACAACTAAATTATTGGTATGTTGAAAAGCAAGAAGAAATTGGATAAACAAAAGCTCAGTTTAAACTACAAGTACTTAGATGGATAATCAACTGTTGATGTGCTCTTAATTTTGTCAATCAATCTATCTTTGTTGGACAACCAGACTTAACGTTAACGATAAGAATTATACTTCATCCCTCCAATAAGATTTGTCATTTTTTTTTTTCCACAGTATTAATTTGACACAAAGACCAATGGCCACCACATATATAATTAGTTGACTTGTTAGATTATGTTTGATTAATACACTAAAGTAATTAGATATTGCATAAAATAAAGAAATTCAACAAGAGATACGCCTATGACCCCATGCACACTGACACATTTTCGCTAAAACAAAATAGTTTTGTTTTTCAATAAACGATAACAAATGCTAACAAGATAAACACGAACTCCGTTAATTAATTGTTGGAATTACTGCTACATTGGGATTATATAGGTAATTATGAGGATTAAGCAAATTAAAACAATATAAAATGTATGGTTAAAATATATTTTGTTAATAAAATGTATATATATATATTGTTGATAAAATGTATAGTTACAATATAAAATCTCATAGTTATATTTATTTTATTTAGAAATATGATATTTTTGTATAAAATTATGTAAATTTACTAAAAGAGTAACTAAAATGCTTTTTTCACAAATATGTATTTTTTTACTCGATAATGCAAAAAAAATATGACATTGGATAATATAAGTATGCACTTTTATTGACAAATGTACTATGAATTGACCGTCTAACGGTTGGCTGCCTCAACAAAATTTATTTTAATGCGAGTCACAATAGCTATAAGCTATGTACGTGGCTTAAGGTGTACCATAGATAAATTATTCATTAAAAATTCTGTATTAACTTTGTTATCTAAATTGAAGTGATTATTCACCCAAACTGTACAAGAAAATGATACATGCGATCTTATGATTTGTTGATTTCTTCAAATTAAAACTCAATCAAATTTTATTNCTCAATTAAATTTGTTATCTAAATGAGGTGATTATTTACCCAACTGTACACTGAAAATAATGCCGATGGCGATCTTAGTATTTATTTATCTATCTAACATTAATTAACCTTTCGTAATACATGTAAACATTGGTAGGATTTAGTAACAGAAAAAAAATAGATCGAAATGTTTATTTATCCATCATGATCACATTAAGCCATGTATTAAGATTTAAGATATATAGCATGTTAGAATACTATACCTACAATGTATGATATGCTAATTAACAATTATATTAGCTCATAGACATATTAACACTTATCCACCATGTGACTGATAGATACATATCAAATTAACTTAGGATTTAAAGGCTAAAATCAATAATTTATGAGTCAATCTACTTTTATAAATTGGTTTACTAAACCGGTTTATCGAATCATGAATTGACAAAATCTGCATTGTTAACATATATTTTACGAGTTTTTTTTTTAATTAAAAAAAAAAATTTTGCATTCAAGCAAATTAAGGATTAAATACGTTCATTAAAAAAGACGTTCATCTATTTTGTCATATGTTCAAGAAAATATTAACTGTTAATTTTGATAATATTTTAAGAAAATAGTTATAAGTGATCTTTCATATGTTTTTTAGTAAGTAAGCAAATTAAGGATTAATACGTTCATTAAAAAAGATGTTCATCTATTTTGTCATATGTTCAAGAAAATATTAACTGTTAATTTTGATAATATTTTAAGAAAATAGTTATAAGTGATCTTTCATATGTTTTTTAGTAAGTAATTTGTAAATCAAATGGTCATATAGAGTGACTCATATTGTTATGATAAGAGTGATGCATAGTTGTATCTCTATTTGATCAATGATCACTCAATTTATATTGGTAGGCAGAACTAACATTTTCAAAACCATATTCTTTAAATAAATATGCATATTTTGAAACTAAAATATCGTACTTTAGAAACAACATAAGTGAACTATGATATTTCATAACATGAATATACATTTTTATGAATTAATATGCCTAACGAACCGTTTCATACAAGAATTTGTGATATACAAATTGTTCAGATAATGTAACGCTACTCATAACTTATTTAATTTACTTTGAAACCACCAGCTTGACAAATAATGTATATTGGATACATTTATTTTTCTATTTTGGCTCATTAGATTTTTATTTTACAAAATTATGATGGGAGTCAATTTTTTAACTCAAAATCCAACCAAAATTTGATCTAAATTCACTCTCTTAAATATTATCAATTTAATTAAATAAATTAACAAATTTTTACTACATATTTTTCAATAAAAATAGTATTCATCAACTCACATATTTTTATTGAATACTACCAATCTTTTACATCATATCAACTTTAATGATCACATTTTAACTTATATTCATTAATAAACGCAAAACTAAATTTAAATTTAATTTTCCACTCAGGTCATTTTTTTCAATTTTAACTCATTTCATCTAATAAATCAAAGTTTCCTAAATTTTTATATCTAACTTGGCTGATTAATAGTATTTTTATCTATTCAATCTCCCTCCTTAACTAATCTATCAATAGTTTCCTAGCACAACATGCCCAACAAAATAAAATAAATGTATCAATAAATGACAAACAATAGGACCCACTAGTTGTTGATGGCTGTAGCCTGTAGTTGTCTTATTAAACAAAAGTCAACAACTTTACAGTTTACATTCAATTAATTCATATATTCTATTTAAAAAAAAAATGATGCTTGTATAGTTGTATGTAGGTACTCAAAACAAATCAAAAAATTCTTCAACAAAATAAAAAAAAAAACAAGTGAATATGNGTTGAGATTTTTCTTTTTTTTTTTTAGAAATTAAAAAAGTTGAATTATTTTCATGTGTGAAATTTATTTTATATTTATTATATAAATAACACGGCTACGAAACTCTGTTCTCATCATATAACATATCCCCCAAATAGTTTATCCACTCGTTCCATATCTCTTCTTCCTCGCCGCCGTTGCCTCTCAACTACCGTCGTGAATTTCAATCCCTCTCTCCTTCTCTCTCTCTACAAAGTTTCAGAGTTGAAGCTAGCCTCTCGCTGTTTCTCTCTCTAGGTTTATCCCTCATCGACTCAGCCAGGTGCCCTTCCTGCTCTGTTTTTTCCTGGATTTCTGCTTTTTATATGTGTAAATAAATATTTGTTTTGATTTTCCCGATTTTGAGGTGTATTTGTTTTTTGAAATGTCTGATTTGATGCCTGGTTTCGTTTATTTTTCTCCGTCATTGCGAATTTGTGTGTTTCTATTATTTTTCGTGGAGATTTTTGAAGGTTGATCTTCTGTATAGACTATAGTAGTACATGGGTATTGGAAAAAGTGTTGAATTTGATGATAAGAAATTTGGTATTTTCGTATTTTGTTTCTTCAAGGGTTGCATTGACGAGGTGTGAAGGACATCTGTCTGTTGTTTGGTTCTGGATGCTGTATATATTGTGAGAATAGTGTGAGAATTTTTTATGATTCGCCTCTTATTTCTTATTTTAGTGTCAGTTTTACATGGATTTCGTTCGCGATTTCTAATTTTTAAGGTGGGGGGCTTTATGAGTTCCCCATTTTCTATAAATGTTTAGGTGCTCTTTTATGGAATTGTCAATCCTTGCATATTCTTCTCTTTAGCTTGCTGAAAAGGTTTATCAGATTTTCGTGATCGATTATGACAATTAATGGCAATCTCACGCTGCTTTATCCTTCTCGAAGGAAGTCCTTCATTTGAGCCCAGCTGGCTGTTGTGGGTTTTTTGGTACCAATTTAGTTTCACCTGGCTCTCTTGGTCTAAACATAGAACAGATATTGGAGTTATACGTTCGATACATAGTTATCAGACATCATCATATGTGTAATCTTTAGAAACTTTGTTGTTTCTCTTTTTTGAATAGTTGGGTGGGACTTTTTTTTTGGTATGGATCCCGAATATTTGACTTTAGTCCCGGTTTTAGGTTGAAAAACACTCCCAAACTATGGAGAGAAACTTCGTTTGAAATTTTTATTTTCTCCGTCTTTGTTTCATTTTATTGGGAATATACTGGGTATGTTGTTGTTGTTGTTGTTTCATTTTGAGTCAATTGGTGTGGTGGCGGCGGATTGGAACTTGAAAGAATGATTTAGTGATGGATTTTATGCCTTTTTCGGCGATATTTCCCTTTTTTACCTTTCTAACTGTGGATCTTGCAAAAAGTCTGAATTCTACCCCCTTTTGTTTTCATGCTACAATTATAGAGTAGCAATCTTTCTTCCTTGAACTTGATTGAATTATGATTCTTATCATCGAAGGCTATTGCCTTGGTAAATTGACATTTTCCTTCTACTCAATGTATCATTAACCTGCAATAATTATCTGTTGACAAATCTCTAATATGATCTAACTTTACATCTGGCATTGTTTTATCAACTTTCAATTGGTGTTTGGTTCCGTGTTGATTATGTTATCTTTATTCTTTAAGATAATATTCTTTTTCTTGGCCACAATATCTCACCCTAATTCTTTTTCCTAACCTATAATATCCACACTTGCCATGCTTTTCATCATTATGTACATACTTACTATATCCGAATGCTATCAGATACGTGCATTTCAACATTATATATCCCTTTTATCTTTCTTTGCGCTTTTACAGATTTTTTTTATTTTTTTATTTTTTTTTGTCTCGGTTTCTCTCTCCTCGTGCAGATATCATCATGGCTTTTCAGCAAAACTTCAGTGACCTGACCATCAATTATGGATCAGAGAGTAACATCCCACATAAACAAATGCCGAATTCGGGCCCGCAGCCGATCGATAATCCAAACGGGTGCTTCGACTGCAACATTTGTCTCGACTCATCTCACGACCCTGTTGTCACACTTTGCGGCCATCTCTACTGTTGGCCGTGCATCTACAAATGGCTCCGAGTTCAAAATTTGTCAATCGAGTCAAACGAGCTTCCTAAATGCCCCGTTTGTAAATCCCACATCTCAACTTCCACACTTGTCCCTTTATACGGACGGGGAAAATTCGAGCCTGAGCCGAAAAAACTCAACCAGTTAGATTTGATCATACCTGATCGACCTCAGGCCCTTGGGATGAACTCTGTGTTAGCTGCCTCAAATCATCAGAACCATCAAAATCACCAAATCCCTTCTCAACCGACTAACCGGGCTTACCAAGTGGGCCCATCATCTATGAGCTTCTACAGCCCGACTATCAACATGGTAGGCGAATTGGTGTTTGCTCGGATGTTTGGGAGTCCGGACACGAATCTGTTTGCTTACCCTTACTCGAACTATGGGCATTTTTCGGGGAATGGTAGCCCGAGGCTGAGGAGGCAAGAAATGCAGGTGGACAAGTCGCTTAATCGGGTCTCAATCTTTCTGTTCTGCTGCTTCATCTTGTGCCTGATCCTGTTTTAGGGTTGTGTGCTGTGCTGTTTGTACAGACTGTATAGATTGTGAGACGGATGAAAAGTGAGGTCTGAGTATAGATATATATATACATATATGTGGTATTGTGGTATAGTTTTGGCTAAGAGTGATGCTACAAATACATAATTCCATTGTGGGATGAGGCTTATTATCCTGTTTATGGTGATCTTGTGCATGAAAGTTGAACAATTTCAGGTCATCACTGTGAAAAGTTAATTATACTCTGGTTTGTGCCTTTTTAACTTATTTTGTTGGGGGTTTTAAGTGTGTTATAATTAGTGTTGTTAAAGTAAACCAGCCTGACCCGGCTTGGCTTGAGCTCGGCTCGAGTTCGACTCGAGTTTGAGGTCTTAACGAGCCGAGCTTGAGCTCATTTAAAGCTCGTTTGGTTAATGAGTTCGGTTCGATAAGGCTCGAAAAGAGAAATTTTATATAATTTTTTATAGTTCAGTTCGTTAAAGCTCGAGATCGGCTCATTAAGGATCAAGCTCGAAGCCTTAATGAGAGCCTTAATGAGCCGATCTTGAGCTCGATTTTTGGCTCGTTTATTGAATGAGCCGAGGGATCAAGCTCGAGCACTCTAAGCCCGAGCTCAGTTCGGCTCATTTACAGTCTTAGTTATAATCTTGTGCAGCCTTTGTGATTTCTTTAGGGTGATATGGATAGACAATGCTGTTTTTTCAATATATATGGATACTTTTAAACTGAAATCATTGTATTACCAAAAACAATACTACTTTAGCAATATATATATGTATATTTTTAAATTGAAATGTTATTTCAAATAACAACATAAATAAATGTATGATAATTTGTAACATAAGATAGTATTTTACTATTTTTGTTAAAAATGTGTTACAACTTACAAGTGTCGACCCAGACGAGAATTTGTAGTAGTTAAATTACAGAGTTGAAGAATAAAATTAAATAGTTGACATTATTTAGGCTTTGTTAACATCAACATTCTTGAGCCCCAGGATACAAGGTATTTAATATAAGGAAATAATAATAATAATAATAATAATAATAATAATAATAATAATAATAATAATAATCAACAAGTCAGGCTTGTAAGTTTTCAAGACTTTCCTATGATTGGTAAACAAGAGAATTGATTTTCATTCATTGACCAGAGCCATTTCTGAGCCACTGACCAGAGCCATTTTTGAGCCATTTAGGTAACATCCCACTTTAGTTAAACAATCATGTGTTAATTTCTATACATTCACATCAATACCAAACTTAATACTGATTCTCACATGATATTTAGTATTGATTTCTGATTCGGGGAACAACGGTTCGGTTTGGTGCAAAGAAACATCAAACCGTGAAAAAATGAAGAATTGAATGCATAAAAGAACCAATAACCGAACCACACGCAACATAAGGA